TTCTCCATATTTCTGAAAATACTGTGGTTTTTATAGAGCAACATGTATGATTACTAATGCTTTATTTTTTACCAAAGATAATATTAATTTCTAAGTGCGTGACTGCATCTCTTAATCAAGAATTATATTTAAAGTTGGCAGATGAATATAATTAATCATATTAGGATTTGTCATGTTTGCGTATAGAGATAGAAACAGCTATTTCCACTTCATTGATATCAAAAGTAATTGAGTAGTAGCAGCATACGACACCTAGTGGATAGATTAACATTCTTAGGCCAAAATGGAGAAGCAAATGTTTTAGTATCTTGTGCAAATTAGCCACTGTGTAATCAATAAATGAAGTAAAATGTCTAATCTATCCTACTTCCTATAAATCTGTCTTAAAATAGAGTGCTCCTTGAATTTTGGCACTTTATAAATTTAAAATTGACATACATGTCCAACTGAAGAAGAATAGATACTCCAAGAGGGAGCTAGCTAGATAATGATGTAAAGTCATATCTTGAAAGGAGTTTCTGCTATGGGGCAGTGAATGGCTAATCCAGTGTTTCTGAAACTTGGCAACTTTAAGATGTGTGAACTTCAACTCTTGGTTAATGACTGGGGAATTCGGGAAGTAAGAGTCCACACACCTTAAGGTTGCCAAATTTCAGAAATGGTTTCCTCTTTAAGTGCCTGCATGTGATTTTGTTTTGAATTGTGTTCTTAGTTCATGCATGGTAATTAATTTTTTGCATTAGATGGATCCCTTGGGTAATCAAGGGATAAAATAGATTATTTATATTGGTTTGAAATGTATGAAAACACGTGAACTTACATGGTTTGGGTATGATAAAGTAGAACAGTAGGGAAGTTGCTATAATAAACATATTGATTTTTTCACTCCCGTTACAGATTACAACAGTGACAAAGTTAGTATTCGTTCCACTAGAATGGAGTTGTGCTTTGTGCTTTGGCATGTGTGGCTGTCCCAGAATTAAATTTCTGCAAAATAGAGCCTTGGCTTTTGAAGTTAAAGCAACATAAATTGTTTGCATTTTCACTGGTGTGTGGTTTTATTTACAATATTAAATTTTGTCTTGAGTAACTGGCAAATAGTAGAGATAATAACAGCGAATGAGTCTCTTTTTAATGTCTGCGATTAGACATTAAAATGGGTGATTTTTTTTCTATTAAGATAGAAATAAATGAAGACATTTATTGGAATTAAATTTAATTCAAGGATTTTTCAGCCTCTTTCTTGCCTCTTCCCTATTCTCCCATTGATTTAGGGAAGAAATAAATTTGCCATGACTTTACCTTAACTTGTGCCTCCACCTTGTGGCATGGTGGGGTAGCTGCTGGTAAAAGTCAGCAAGAAATCATTCTAGAAATACCAGTTGGAAATTCTGTTAGCTTTATCTCCTATTCATGATTAAATGAAACTATTTTTCCCATCTGGCTTTAATATTACAATTAACTTTTATTAACTCTTTTTTTGATCCCATTTTCTATGTTATTCCTTATCTGTACTTGAACGTCCTGGAATCGAATCCATTGTTTGTGTCTTTTCTGTCCCTCATTCCTTCAGTAACCCTGATGAGGTGTAAGTACTTTACTAATCACTCTCTTAATGTTTGAGCTACAGTTTATATAAAATAATTGCTGTATTCTGTAGGTAGCCTTTTTGAATTAACTTCCATTTTCTCTAAGTTTGGGAATGTTACAATACTTTTTGTTTTGGTGAAAGAATTAAAAAAAACTATGCAATAAATTAACTTTCTCCAGTCGTTGTTCTCCTGATGTCTTGAACTACAGTGACCATCATTCCTCTTTGGGGTGTATTCTTAGGAATGATCAGAATAGTTGACACTATAGTACGGTAGTAGAATTGGGAAAGGTTGAATCTGAATAGTATATCCTTTCTCCTTCTTTCTGTCCAGTATTTTATATGGAGACTTTTAGTCTATATTCAGTACAGTGGTATCTCGATACTCATCATTAATTGGTACCAGGAAGTGCGATAAGTACAAAACATGATGAGTACCAAAAAAATTTCCCCATAAGGAATAATGTAGTGAGTCACAAGGCAGTCGACACCAATAAGTTGTAGCTTGTGCATTGAGTACCAAAGAATGAATACTGGAACAAAATTTTCATATCACTGTGTTGAGTACCAAATGTGATGAGTTTCAAAGCAGTTGAGTACCAGAGTAATACTTTTTGAGTGTATGATGAAAACATGACAAAGAGAAGTAAATGTATACACTGAATTACTGAATTCACTCTTAAAATAGAAAGTTTAGGAAGTAGTTTGATGCTAAATGTCAGACGAAAGATCTGAATAGCAAGAGGTACTCCAGGGTGAACATGATGAGTTTCTGTGCGATAGAAATTATTAAGCAAAGATGCAAAAGTCACCTGGATTTTTAGATGACCTTGTGATCTTCTTATACGAGATTCTATCATCCTGTTCAGGTATTGCAAAAAAGGGCCAGTCACAGTGTGGTTTGCAATAAGTAGCCTTATCTCCTCAGTAAAGTTGAGTTGATGATGTCTGTGAAGTTGCCCAGGAAGACTGTAGTTTATAGTGGAGAACCGTTGCTTATTCAAAAGTAACTGCAAAGGGTCCCACATTTGGAAGAAAAAAAAATACCAATATGCCCAATAGTATCAAACAGAATGGGGTGCTTTTGCTTCAGGAGAAATTGGCTCAGCTTTATGCCAAGCTTAAATGGGGAAATTGAGAGGGTAAAATGAGGCTCAAATAAGCCAATACAGTTTCTTCCTTGGGAGAATAAAATTATTATTAAATTATTTTATTTGGTGACTTGTCAATAGTAACAGCAGTTAAGCTTAATACTTCTAATTCTTTTGTCTTTCTGTTCTTTCTTCTCCTTATGCTGGACTGTCTTGTATTCTGTTCCCTTGCTCTTTCCAATATGATAAAAGGAAAAACCCACCTAAACGGTAATAGCCACGTGCCTTTTTGATGTTCAATATTATGTGCAGTTTTTAACTATGGTCTGTATTTTTGATCAGGGTGGGTGTGGAGAGAGGGAGCAAGTTGTGATAGTTTACAGTTTGCCTGAAATTGTTCTGCACATCCATAACTAATTTTTGTACCATTCCAAATTCTACTTAGGTTATCCTTTCTACCAACTTAACTATTGCCTTTCTCTCCTTATTCTTCTATTCTTCAGTGGCAATAGGATTTCCTTCCTTCCTTCCTTCCTTCCTTCCTTCCTTCCTTCCTTCCTTCCTTCCTTCCTTCCTTCCTTCCTTCCCTTCCCTTCCCTTCCCTTCCCTTCCCTTCCTTTCCTTTCCTTTCCTTTCCTTCCTTCGTCTATCTTTTTTGTTGTCTTGCTATAAGACAAAATCTTACCAATTGTTTTGTATTTAAGAATTTTTCACCCAAATTCATACATGCAGGACCGCGTAATCTCAGTACTGTTCAACAATGCAAGTTAGCCATTTTAACAGTTGATCGACTTTATAATATTTTTTAAATTTATCATTCAATTAATGTGGTAAACTATATTTTAGAATAGATATAGCAAGGGAGTAAAAAAAAGAGAAGAACATTGCTGTATAATATTTTTCTGTGGAAAATGTAATATGTTTTGTTTTTCCTAGAGCCCAATACAAGGAGATGCAGCCATGTACTATCTTATTAAGAACTGTTCACTGAATTAAATGATGGATTCTATGAATTATTAGCTTCTATTCATGCAGGTTCTGATGTAGATATTGGTTGCAGCTTATGTTTCTTTAAAAAGGAACAGCTGAAACCTGGATGCCATGCACTTTAATTTTTTTATCTAACCTGAAGGAAGCAATAACTTACTCCAGCAAGATCTATATTAAATACATATACTTAGCATCTTGGCCTTGATCAATGTAACTCATCAAGTTTTATTGCCCTTATTCATTGTATTAGTCCACCACGAAAACACGTCGTGTACAGAAATACAGATTTTTTCCATCCACCGGTTCATAGCAACAACAGCAAGAAGAGACTGATTGAAGATACTGAGGACTGGCACCCAAGGACTGGAACTACTCAGTC